GCCAGCGGCGTTATTTCGACGCCTACTTTGATTGTAATTTGTTGATTGATAATATTTTCAGAGAACGCTTTTTTTTCGATTTTTTTCTTATACAATCACTTCCTACAGTTACACAACCACTTAATGATCCGAGCGTTGCGTTCCACAATGGATGGGGGCTCGCTTGGCCTCAATGCTTGAGGTTGGCAGTGATCAACGTTATCGATGGGTCGACTTGAATCGACGGTGGATACATCCGAGAAAAAGACAGGACTATCCGAGGATCTGCTATCGCTTAACATATCCTCGAAACTGTCACTGGTAAGCCCGAGGTGCTCAAAAAATTGTTCCAGATGGCTCACTGGGGGCTCCGCAGATCTCCAATACCTATCGCTGATATCGGATTTTGATCGCAAAATCGGGCGGTCCCTTTTATAACGGAGACATTTTTGTCTTTTAAAACTAGTGATTGGTTGAGGGTAACGCGCTCTACAATCTGTCTCTTGACAGCAAAAATAAGAACTTCCCCCACTATGTTGTGTACTAGAACCAGAATCTCTTCGTGTATCCTGAAATATATAAAATATTTCTAATATATAATTTTTTCTCATCAGTAAAATAGAGAGAAAGCAATTAAACTGGTACCCAACCCAACCCAACCTAACCCACATAATTATTATGGAACATAACACAATAGTAAAAAAAAAAGTATGTGAAGCAAAGAATAAGGATAAGGAAAAGAAGTGATAGGAAAGAATAGCAGAAGTTGGGAAGCAGAGAGGGAAGACTCTAGTAGATATAAAGGATTTAGCCAGGAACTGGAGGAAGTGGAAAAAATGGATGGAGGAATAGGAAAAAGATTTATCCAACGCCATCAGGCATAAGGATCAAGGATCAATAGAGCGAAAGCCATTAAACTGGTACACCCACATAATTAGAATGGAACATAACACAATAGTAAAAAAAAATTATTTGAAGCAAAGAATAAGGATAAGGAAAAGAAGTGATAGGAAAGAATAGCAGAAGTTGGGAAGTAGAGAGGGAAGACTCTAGCAGATATAAAGGATTTAGCCAGGAACTGGGTGAGTGGAAGAAGTGGATGGAGGAATAGGAAAAAGATTTAGCCAACGCCATCAGGCATAAGGATCAATAGAGAGAAAGCAATTTAACTGGTACACCCACATAATTAGAATGGAACATAACACAACAGTAAAAAAAAAAGTATTTGAAACAAAGAATAAGGATAAGGAAAAGAAGTGATAGGAAAGAATAGCAGAAGTTGGGAAGAAGAGAGGGAAGACTCTAGCAGATATAAAGGAATTAGCCAGGGACTGGAGGGAGTGGAAGAAGTGGATGGAGGAATAGGAAAAAGATTTATCCAACACCATCAGCCTTAAGGATCAAGGATCAATAGAGAGAAAGCAATTAAACTGGTACACCCACATAATTAGAATGGAACATAACACAATAGTAAAAAAAATATTTGAAGCAAAGAATAAGGATAAGGAAAAAAGGTGATA